AGACATGTGCTCAGGGCTGGTGCACTGGGAAGATCCAGAGGGATGGGATGGGGAGGGACATGGGAGGGGGGATCGGGATGGGGAACACATGTAAATCCATGGCTGATTCATGTCAATGTATGGCAAAAACCACTACAATACTGTAACGTAATTAGCCCCCAACTAATAAAAACACAGGAAAAAAAAAAACTGTTACCAGTGACGAAAAGTGGATACTGTACAACAATGTGGAATGGAAGAGATGGTGGGGAAAGTGAAATGAACTACCATCAACCACAGCAAAGGTTGATCTTCATCCAAAGAAGGTGATGTTATGCATATGGTGGGATTGGAAGGGAGCCCTCTATTATAAGCCCCTTCCAGAAAACCAAATGATTAATTCCAATAAGTACTGCTCCCAATTAGACCAACTGAAAGCAGCACTTAATGATAAGCATCTGGAATTAGCAGAAAATGCATAATCTTCCATCAGGATAATGCAAGACCGCATGTTTCTTTGATGACTAGGCAAAAACTGTTACAGTTTGGCTGGGAAGCTCTGATTCATCCACTGTATTTACTAGACACTGCACCTTCAGATATCCATTTAATTTCAGTCTTGACAAAACTCTCTTAATGGAAGAAATTTCAATTCCCTGGAAGACTGTAAAAACGCACCTGGAATAGTCCTTTGCTCAAAAAGATAAAAAGTTTTGTGAAGATGGGATTATGACGTTACCTGAAACATGGCAGAAGGTAGTGGAACAAAACAGTGACACACTTTTCAATATATTTCTTCATAAAAATGAAAAGTGTGTCTTTAATTTTTACTTAAAAATCAAAGGAACTTTTTGGTGAACCCAATAATTTGTCATGGCAGTCCTTGTAACTAACACACCTATCAGGTAAATATTCCTGACTCTTTCTACATAAATCCATATTTGCTTTATGTATGGCAATAAATACATAATTTATTTAGCCACAGGTTATTTTTGAAATAATTTTATTTATTTATCCATTTTTGTCTGTACTGGGTCTTCTTGCAAAACACAGGCTCTAGGGCATGTGGGCTTCAGTAGTTGTGGCTCCTAGGCTCTACAGCACAGGCTCAATAGTTGTGACACATGGGTTTAGTTGCTCTGGGGTGTGTGGGATCTTCTTGGATCAGGGATCAAACCTATCTCCTTCACTGACAGGTGGATTCTTTACCACTGAGCCACCAGGGAAGCCCCACAGGTGATTTTAATTGCAACAAAATAATTCAAAGCATTAGCCTCATTCTAAGAAACAGATGCGGGGATTCCCAGGTGGCTCAGTGGTAAAGAATCTGCTGCCAATGCAGGAGACAGCAGGCTTGATCCCTGGGTTGGGAAGATCCCCTGGAGTAGGAAATCAAAACCAGCTCTAGTATTCGTGCCTGAAAAACTCCATGGACAGAGAGCCTGGCAGGCCACAGTCCATGAGGTCGCAAAGAGCTGGACATGACTGAGCACACTATATCACATACTATGTCTTCAATTTCTATTTTTTTTGTTTTTGTTGTTATCATTACACCTTATTAGGTAATTCCTCATTATTCTGATCTTCTGTTATTGTTAATAATTCTGTATCTTAAACTTTTTCTATTCTAATTACTGTATGCTTTTCTCTCCTGTGTGCACCCAGATTGATACTGAGGATCACTGAGATAACAATGCCCTATAAAGTTTGAAATATGACACAAATATATTCACATTAATTTTAGAGAAGTTCCTTTGAAGTGGGATGGCAAATACTATTACATTTTATACACGAAGAATATGTAAGTGAGTTGTCCAAAGTCATACAGTATTTTTATCATTTGTAAAATGCAGATAACAACAGAAACTACCTCCTAGTGTCATTATAAAGATTAAATGAGATAAATTATGTAAAGTGCTTTGTACATGGTAATGGCTTAATGTTAACTTATATATATTATACTTGATCTGTAAAATATATTCAGTCTGGTGTTTTGCAGAGCTATTTGCAATTACTTATATAGGAATTATATATTTTTTCAATATTTAATTTTTTTTTTTTTTTTTAGTTAATGGCATTTGTCTTATCAAGTACTATAGCATAATGACCTAAGACAGACCTATCATATCACATATCTTGTGTGGTTCTCTCTGAGGGGAAAATAATGGCCAGAGTGACAGCTAACCAAGGTATGCTAAGTTTATGTCAGTATGATGTAATTCTAGCCCCACTGTGGTCACTGGCTAAGCTCTGTGGGAGGAAATAAAATTCCTAAGAATCCAGCCCTAACCTTAAAAGGTGAACCTTCAAATCGGAATATTTCACTGTAAATAGTACATGCAGCTTAAACAGCATTTCTGGTCTCATCAGGTTCAGCTTCCATTAAGTACTTTTTGGTCAGGGCATGAGGTGGGAACATGACATTACATAAGAGAAAATAAGAGTTTTGATGAAAGTGAAAGAGGAGAGTGAAAAGTCTGGCTTAAAACTCAATATTCAGAAACCTAAGATCATGGCATCTGGTCCCATCACTTCATGGCAAATAGGTGGGGAAACAATGGAAACAGTGACAGACTTTATTTCTTTGGGGTTCCAAAATCACTGCAGATGGTGACTGCAGCCATGGAATTAAAAGATGCCTGCTCCTTGGAAGAAAAGCTATGCCCAACCTAGACAGCATATTAAAAAGCAGAGACATTACTTTGCCAACAAAGGTCCTTCTAGTCAAATCTATGGTTTTTCCTGTAGTCATGTATGGATGTGATAATTGGTCTATAAAGAAAGCTGAGCACTGAAGAATTGATGCTTTTGAACTGTGGTGTTAGAGGAGACTCTTGAGAGTCCCTTGGACTGGAAGGAAATCCAACCAGCCCATCCTAAAGGAGGTCAGTCCTGAATATTCATTGGAAGGACTGATGCTGAAGCTGAAACTCCAATACTTTGGCCACCTGATGTCAAGAACTGACTCACTGAAAAAGACCCTGATGCTGGGAAAGATTGAAGGCAGGAGGAGAAGGGGACAACAGAGGATGAGATGGCTGGATGGCATCACCAACTCAATGGACATGAGTTTGAGTAAACTCCAGGAGTTGGTGATGGACAGGGACGCCTGATGTGCTGCAGTCCATGGGGTCATGAAGAATCAGAAATGACTGAGTGACTGAACTGAACTGAAAGAGAAAATAGGGATGAAGACTGTTCATTATATGTGTCATTTACTCTACAAATCCTTTCATCACTTAAATAGTTCAGTAACCAAATACTGAAAATCAGTATTATACTAAAGGTTAGGCGTTTTATATTAAATAACAAACGTTGCCCTAAACCTGTAAAATACCTTGCATACAGATATGAAACAATGAATAAAAACCCATGGTTAATGTAAAAATATTTTGGCAGTATTTGAAGACACAACTGAAAGTTATCTTATAGGAAAGGGACAGATATGGCATGTGTTAAACATTCACTTCATGGCAAATAGATGGGGAAACAGTGGAAACAGTGGCTGGCTTCATTTTTCTGGGCTCCAAAATCACTGCAGATGGTGATTGCAGCCATAAAATTAAAAGACACTTACTCCTTGGAAGGAAAGTTATGACCAACCTAGATAGCATATTAAAAAGCAGAGACATTACTTTGCCAACAAAAGTCTGTCTAGTCAAGGCTATGGTTTTTCCAGTGGTCATGTATGGATGTGAGAGTTGGACTATAAAGCAGGCTAAGTTCAGAATTGATGCTTTTGAAATGTGGTGTTGGAGAAGACTTTTGAGAGTCCCTTGGACTGCAAGGAGATCCAACCAGTCCATCCTAAAGGAGATCAGTCCTGGGTGTTCATTGGAAGGACTGATGTTGAAGCTGAGACTCCAATACTTTGGCCACCTGATGCAAAGAGCTGACTCATTGGAAAAGACCCTGATACTGGGAAAGATTGAGGGCAGGAGGAGAAGGGGATGACAGAGGATGAGATGGTTGGGTGGCATCACCGACTCAATGGACGTGAGTTTGGTAAACTCTGGAAGTTGGTGATTGGTAGGGAGGCCTGGCATGCTGTGGTTCATGCAGTCACAAAAAGTAGGACAGGACTTAGCGACTGAACTGAACTGAAGTGAACTGAAACATTCAGAAATGGAAAAATAAAATGTTTCATGTCTGACAGCAAATTCTCCCTGAAATATTTATCAGAATCAGGGGACATTTGATAGCTGCTCTCTCTGTGTAACAACATGAGCCCCGCCCTCTGGACTGCTAACTACACAGCATTTTCACCCGGTACAAAAATCATTTTAAAGAAAAAACAAGTGACCACGAAGTAGGGGATCCTTTTCCTTCTCAGTCACAAGACCCTTTAGCGGCTAACCTCCTTTCGGTGGAAGAGAGGTAAAAAAAATAAAGCCTCTTTGGTGCCGTGAGGAAATCTAAGAAAGACGCTGAGTCAAGTTGGCTCCTCACATGTCCCTCATCACAAAGCCAGAGGGAAAAGTCCTTAACAGGAAAAGACCTGACTGCTCTCACAGGAAGGGCAAAGGATTCAGAAGCTCGCGGAAGGGAACGTCACCACCGAGTTCTGCAGCGGCTGCCAGAGCGTCGGCCATCAGTTAGTACCACCCCTTCCTTCTGGGAGTAGTAGCTAGGCAACCGTGGACGTCTAGGAGAGAGGAGGACTGGCGGCTGCGCTAGTGCCCCTGGCGGCGAACAACGAGCGCTGCAGTTACCTCTTACATTTTTTACCCTCCCCTCTCTCCACCCCCTTTGCCCCCGCCCACCCCTCCGCCACTTCGGCTCCTCCCTCCTCTTCTCTCTCTTGCTCTCCTTCCTCCTCCGCCTCCTCAGCTCTAGGGCTAGAATATCTATGGGTCGAAACGTGATGCGATGAATCCGAGAAAGACCGAAACTGGGACGCGGAGTGCGGCGGAAGCGGCGGGACTCCTGGGCATGGGGGCTTCACCACAATAGAGACAGCGCCCCCACTCTCCCCCGCCAGCCCCTCTGGAGCGAAGCCCCCAAACCCCCTCAGGAAAAGGATGGCGGCGGCACCTACCCAGATCGAAGCCGGTGGGTGGCTGTGTCCGGGGGTTAAGAGGATGGGGGCTTAGCGTGGCGGCTGTCAGTTTCTTTTGAAAAAGCTTCTATTTCTCTTTGCCTCCCTCTCAACCTCTTCCCACCCCCCCCCCCTCCTCTTCCTCAGAGCTGTATTACCTGATCGCTAGATTCTTGCAATCCGGACCCTGCAACAAATCCGCTCAGGTGAGAAGGGGAAGGAGATCTGGGAGTCTTGGGGAATGGTCCCAATGGGGAAATCGAGGCAGCAGAGTGTGCGGTTTCGTTGTGGTTGAGGTAAAGGCCGGCCTTGAGTAGCTCTACAGTCAGCGGCTGGGTTCGAATTGGGGAGGGAGGACTGGGTGATGGCCCGAGCTGCTCGTCATAATCCGTGTTTCCCTTTTGCTCAGGTGCTAGTGCAGGAACTCGAGGAGCATCAGGTACGTAGCCCCATCGAGAAGAGGTGGGTAGGGTTTGGGTGAGACTGGAGGAAGGGGAGGGCAAGTAAGGGGCGGAGGGCAAGGGCTGGGAGGGAGCCTTGGATCTGGGCACTCATAGCTGTTGCTACAGGGGTGAACCGGCTCCTTCCCTCAAAGGGGGCGGATATCTCTGGGGTCCTAACTCACCCCATTTTATGCCTGTGGGAGGTGGTTTTTCAGGATTTCCTCCTCCTTGGCCTCCCCCCACCCTCCCCACACACACTCGTCTAGCTCTGAGACAACAGCTATCATGCCAGAGAAATAAAGACGCCAAGGGTCGAGGACCCGGACCCAAGCTGGGTCGGGTTGATGCGGAGCAGAGGCTTGGCCTTTATCGTTGCCCCCTCCACCCTTTCTTTTTGCCGGCCCCCAGCTTATTCCGCGCCGCTTAGACTGGGAGGGGAGAGAGCACCGAAGAAGCTTCGAGGATCTGGTGAGTAAAGTTTTCATTTCAACTCAACCCAACTCTTTCTTCACTCCCTTTCCACCACCTTGTACCCCCAACCTACCCCCGACCCCTCTACCGACGCGGCTCTAGAGCTCCTTGCTGAGCCGATGAACGTCCCTTCCCCCCTCTTGGCGAGTCGGAGAAAGGGTATCTTGCCCTCCCCTTGGCCTCGTTTGTTTCCACCCGAAAACTTTGAAGAATGTGAGTTGGTTATCAGAGATGCCGTATTGTGGTTTATAAATATGTTACAAACATCAGGAAAGGCCCATTGTAGGGGGAAAAAGGAGAGAAACCCGGGGGTTATCTTGGGGCACGTACCAGGACTGACGCTGGCCAATGACAGCGTTGGTAACAGCCGAGAGTTCCGGATTAGTGGAAGAAAACTGGTTTCTGGTTGGTCCTGGCTTAAAATACGGGAACTGAGGCCAGGCTTAGCCTTTTTTGGGGGGGGGGGGGAGCAGTCGGGCGGCAAGGCGAAGGGGCTTCCGAAGGGGAATTGACAGACCCCGGACTAGGGAAAAACGACACAATTAAAAATAATAGGGAGCATGGAGCTAATTACAAAATTTGCCAGGTTCAGATAATCGACTGAGGAATAATAGCATAATCATTGTGTATCTCAGATTTTAGAAAATAGCTTTAGTCATTATTTAATCACGTTTGTGTAGTTAAAATTTCACTAGATAAGAACTATATATTATGCGTTTTTTTGAGGACTAATGAAACACGATTTGGGATTTTCAAGGAGACAACAATGGTTTTTAAAATTTTAAAATAGAATGTACTTTAGTAAAGGACCAAAAGCTTTGGATTGACTGTTGTTTGTCTTATAGATATAATTCATAGTGTAAATGCACCTTCTGTTTGGCATTGACACACACAAAAAGGTGATCCTTTTTATTTGGGGGGGGGGTTGTTACCTCATGTTATCCACTGGTGCAGTCAGTTGGAAGGAAATGGAAGGAGACAGGTATGATGTTACTAAAATCTAAATTCAGCTACTTTTCCTTCCGATAAGATCCGAATGGAGGAAAATGAAAGAAAGTTGGAGGATGTGGTAGACTCTAAATATAAATAACATAATTTAAAGTTTGCTTTCAGCAAGACAATATTTAAATTACTTTGGTGTTCATTTGATTTTTCTTTTTATTAAATTACAAGAATGAAGCCATGCTAATTACCAAATCTAAATTTTTTAGTTTTGCAAAGCACAGAAAATGGTATAATACTTGAAATAAGGATAAACTCCATCATCTGTACTATTATTAAATGGCAAAAATTCTCAGATGGATAAAAATTATTTCTGAAAAACTGTTTGTATTTCCAGTTTATTTAATTTGTAGTCACACCTTTTTTTTGGACTGAAGTCCTGCCAAAAAAGGGCAAAAACAACAATGTCTACCAATATGTTTTAACACTTCATGACTAATGTGGTTTTGAAAATAGTGCTTCATACTAAGGTGTATTGACAAATTTTTTGGTTAACATTTATTTGTCTCTAAGTCTACCATTTTAAGCAAGTAGCATTTTTTAAAAGGAAAACGCTTTTTAAAAATTAACTTGATGTGGTAAAAAGTAAATGAGCATCAAAATTTTTAAAAATACAGTCTTCTAACCACACACACATATACACAGAAACACACACAGAGAAAAACAAAAAACTAAACAAAGCCCAGTTTACTAGACTTCTTTTCCTTATATTGTAAAGGCATATTTTCATGTATTTGCAATCAGTATCCACTTCATGCTTTATATTTTCTTAACACTTTTACATATACTTATCTATATTTGAATAGCTATTGTTATTTTAATGGCAAGGAAAGATTCAGTTTTATTTAAGTTGCTGTGATTAGAACTCAATTGCTAGTTGAGCATTTGGGTTACTTGCAGTTTTTCACTAATATCTTTGCATAGTTAAGTAGTCATTCTGCTTTTTCTCCCTTTTTTTCCCCAGTTGTTGTCCTGGGCTATATTTCTGAAGTGGAGTTATCAGGTCAGGGGTCTCATCCATTTTATATATTATAAAATTGCTCTCCAGGAGAGTGTACTAATTTATAATCTAACCGTCTAGATACTTAGAATGGATTTTTAAAATCTTTTGGTGGACTTAATAGGTGAAAATAATCCTCTTTGTTTATTTAATTAGCTATTTTCTGTTAGTGAGGCTTTAACTTTAGCAAGTTATTTTTTAATTATTGTTAATCCATTTGTATATTCCTGTGTATACTTGACTTTCACCTTTATCTTTTTAATTTATTGTTTTTATAATTCCTTATACATTTTTAATTTTTATATACACAGAATTTCTCTATTAATATTATCCTTAGTTTAGATAGTGTTATCTTCTTTGTTTTTTGCTTAATTTTTATGTTGTACATATAGGCTTTTATTTTTCCACACCAGGATCCAATTTTTCTAGGGATAATACATTTTGATAATATGGTTTTATTTTTCGTCATATGTCTGTTCTCTACCTATAGATTTCTTTGTAAGGGGAGATGAAGCAGAGCTGAATGAGAATTTGAACAGAAGGAAAAGATGTGGCTGGGAACTGAGTGTGTAGTGTTAGATGGATTGCTAGATTCATCAGTTGTTGATAAAAATGATTTCAAATCTGAAGTGAGATTTTAAGTGGCTTCATTGTAGGAGAGATGGATGTTTTTCTTGGGGTATTTTTTAAAGTGCTGTAGAACAATGGATTTAAACAGTGTGATCTTTGATTTAGCTACATATTTTTGATTGAAATTTAGGACAAAGTGTTATTAATTAGTATATATAACCTTATATGTTAAATTATATTGCAGAATTTGAAACTTAAATGTACTGGGATATTAAAAGGAAAGAATACAAATGCATAATAAAGAGGCAAAGGAGTATAAACAAGGATATCAAAATAGTGAATTGAAATTGCATAGTCATGTATACTACATACTTGAAACAAAAATCCTGCCTTTCTGTCCATATGAATATTTTTAATTGAATTGTACAAAAACTATCCTGCTTAACTTGATTTATCCAGAAGAATACTAAGGTAATATGTTGGATTTCTTCAGCACGTATTACTACTGTTACTATTACATAGTCTAAAAATCCCTCTTTTTCTTTCTTAAATCTGATTTAGTGTTTTACTTATAATTTGAAACACCAGGAAAGGTGCTTTTTTTGTTAAACCTACTTGCAGCCAAATATCAACATGTTGGGATCTAAAGTGCCTTTTAAAAATGAGTCTTGGTGAAATGTTTGTCAGTATATGTTGAACTGTAACATTTTTGATTATGACATTAGAAAATTCTAAATTAATTTTCAGAGTTTTGTAGTGATACAGGGAGAGATTTGAAGTCAGGGTGATTGTTTCTGAAGTTTGATCTGAGTATTTTTCTTTATTTCTGCTTGACTTATTTACAATATAATAGAATTAGATTTGCTTCTTACTTCTTAAGGTAAATAATTTAAGTAATTATAAATGTCCTTTCATTTGTGGTGACCCCGTTGAATTGTTCACTATTTTATTGCTTCCTCCTTGGAGCTTTACTGGGGATGATCATTGGGAATGACAGAGCAGTGAGGAGTGTGTGTGTGTGTGTGTGTGTGTGTGTGTGTAAATGAATAGTTTTTGTTAATACACAAATTTTACATATTGGAAATATGACTTGGAAACATTTTTAAAGACATACATTAAGATTTTTGAATCATTTTGTGGGTACTTTTATCATAAGACTGAACCAGAGACATAATTATCTTTAGGTGTGGTGTATATTTTTACATTTATTCAGCATTTTTCATCCATAGAATTGAAAGCACCAATTAGTGCTTACATTTGGAGTGGCATAGATTGTATTGCCTTTGTTTTATATGGAAAAGACTTGAAGCAGTTTTATGCTATTTAAAAAAAAAGAAAACTTTATCAAGGTTTTAATCTTCACTCGTATCTTTAAAAGTAATACATCTATGGTGATATATGCCATTATAAGAATTTACACCTGCATTTAACATACTTAAGTTTAAAAATGTTTTCACATTATTTCATTTGATCCTCACCAACTGCTTTTAAATACCATATTTGAATTCCAGACATACCTGTATTTTTTTCTCCTCTTACCCAGCTCTTGTTCTCTAGTTACTAGTAATAGCTTAAACTGTCTAGTAGAACTGTAGAATGATCTTTGAGTGCTAGTAGCATGGTTGTTGCATCTCTAAGTGTGGAAGCAATTTAAGCATGTGTGACTTATTAACTGTTATGTGAACACACAGCCATAGTTAGGAACAGAATGCATCGTGGGAAACCAAAAGGCATGTGCTGCTTGACCCCCTTGTAGATATAATGCTAACTGATAGGTATGGCAGATAGCAATCAATGTCTGGAAACGTATTCTTTGCTACTGATTTGCTTGAGCCACATCAGTTTTAGCTATTCATCTGGATTGATCCTTGGCTTTTTCCCCCACACTTGGGCTCTAGGAATACATTTTCAGTGATTAAAACCCCTTTGGAGATTTCTCATCAGTCCTGGGAGAACTAGTATCTCAGTACAAATGAGATGGTATTAAGGAAATGAAGAGAGTGAGAATTTGGATTGGGCGAATGTTTCTTATAAAATTTTGTCCCGATAGAACCTTTGTGACATTTGACTATTAAGTTTAGTTTGTGTGTTTTTGTTAAAGTTTTACTGATGTTGGTTATTGATTGATTAATAAATTTTTTGTAGGGATTAAAATAGTAATTTAAAGTCAATTTAATGTTTATGTCATATTTTAGAGATGCTTTTAACTTTTTCAAATAGAATTTTGTGGGTAGTAGAAAAGGCCATAATATTTAGTCATTACTTGCTGAGCCACCCTGGGCAAGTTACTTAACCTCTTAAAGAATCAATTTCTTCATTTATAAAACAAGAACCCCCACCTGTTTTGAAAGGTTGTTATGTGGACCAAATGAGTTAAATATGAAATAATGCAAATGAGTGCAAATAAGTTGGTTACTACAATTTA